CCCGGCACTAGTGGAAATCCTTGCTTTCAATCCTGAAAATAAACATTGAATAATATCAATAAACTTGTCGGAGATTCCAAGCATTTTTAATTTGGATAACAAAATATTCAAAACAACACTATCAAAAGCTTTCTCATAGTCAATAAACGCTGCAAGTAAACATTGTCTTTTCTTCGAAAGTTGTCTACAAATAATGGAGTGGAGAATCAGAATATTACTTAAAATGCTCTTCCGAGGTTGGAAAGCAAATTGCACAGGTTGAATCAAATTCCTCTCTCTTAGCCAAATAACCAATCTATTTGCCAAAATAGAGGTAAAAATCTTTCGAACTACAGGCAACAGCGATATTGGTCGAAAGTTAGCGGGCTAGTCAAGTGGACCTTTTTTATGGATAACTTTTATCTTTACCTCCAACGACGGTTTCGGAATTCTAGCAGTGTCATAAACCCGATTAAATAACTTAACCAAGTAAGGAACCAAAGTATCCCTAGAGTAAACAATTAAAGACGGTGAAACATTATCCACCCCGGGAGCAGAACGAATTCGCATCTTTTGAAGTGCTGTATTCACCTCTGAATCAGAGATAGGAAGATCTAAAATAGGACCAACAACACAAGAAGCCATCGGTAATGGCAAAATCGGAGGTAAATTCGATGTATTTAAACTAAATAACTGTTGATAATAATTAAACCAAATGGTCAAAGAAATCTCTTGGTCAAGTATGCGCCTGACCCGACGAAAACGACCTACCCAATACCAAAAGGTCCTAGAGTCTCTAATACCAGCCAACTGTACAGCATAATTACAAAAATATTTCCTTTTTTTTTGGCCTTAATAAGTGAATTATATTGTTGTTTCAAATTTAAAAAAGAAGCCAAATCAGCCTGACTATTAGATCTGCGGAATTTGCCTAAGGCAATGTTCCTCACTCACTTCTGAATGTAACATGACCTATCAAACCAAGGGGGACGAATCCTCCTGTAAGGTTCAACACCTTCAATTAACATATTTAGTCTTCTTGCTATAGAGCATAGCTCGGACAAAATAATACCATAGAAATCATCAACAGGCACAGAATCAAAGTTTAAATTCCGGAAACTCTGCGATACGGCGTCACCAAACAATTCTACTTTAGAATCATCCCAAACAAAACGAATCTTGATGGGACAAAGCCCATCAACAAAAGAAAATCTGTTTTCGGTCGACAACTGTAATTCCACTGGAAAATGAGAGAGACCCAACACGAAAGGATTCAACCTTATGAACCAGATTCTGAGAAACGACAATAAAGTCTATAACCAAGCTACCCACTTTTGACAAAAAAGTAAGTTCACCTGGGAAATCTCCCTTAGTACGACCATTGAGGAGAATAAAATCGTGTTCAATCAACCAACACAGAAACTGTCTTCCAGCCGTGTCGACCTTTAAATCCTTTGACGTCTAACATCAAAAATGTTGGGAGAAGCTACATCCAAATGTGAATCAATTACTTCACCAATAGGAACATTAAAATCGCCCATTATCACAATTCCACTGCAATACGAAGACCAAGAGTTCAAAATAGAAGAAAACAAATTTAAATGTAAACCCTGCTGCCTCGGCGAACCAGCATATACCACCAACAGCAGGATATTCCTAGGTTCAAGAACTGAATACAGTGATAAACCAATCACCATCAAATCAGGGTAAGTTTCCAATAACTCGAAGTGCCCTCTAACTTATCAAAAAAGAACAAAATACCACCATGGGGTCTACCCGGCCCCAATGGCTTTTCTGCTGGAATCATAAAAATACTTCCAGTTAACTGGAAGAAAATTAGCAAGAGAATCTCCATTCACTGAAACCATCCAGGTTTCAACAAGGGCTAAACAAATTAAACCTGGTCGTTTAGTCATGTAATCCAAGAGAGAACATTTGGTGCTAAACCCACAATTCCAAAAAAACAAAGATTCTGAATAACTACTCGAACCAAACTGGTCCGGGCACGATGAAGTTGAAAGTCTCTCCAAACCTATTCTGCGGGGAGGAAAATTCAAAATAAAAAAGAAACATGCACCTCTATTAAGCGATGGCCCGAGATAGAATACGTGAATCTCTTATCATCTACATACAATACGTCATCTCACAAAAAAACACGACAACCAGCTTCCCGGTATTCTTTTAAAAAAGTAACCAGGTTTTTACAGCGATCATGGGAATTAAACGACAGATCCGGTGCCAACCTAAATTTCACCAGTCTTTCCCTACCCTCTTGTAGAGTTCTCGTCCGAAGTTTTTGCAATAAATGATTTCGAAATTTCCAGGACGATAACTGGATGCAATAGAATTCCCGAGCTTTACCTCGCAAACTGGAAACACCAACAATATTGTGAGAGTAGCCGGGGTTACGGAGTAGGTAGTACTCGTGTAACACTTAATCGGCACCAGTCGGTAGGACTAGTTCTCTAGGATGCAGATCATTAGGATATTTCATAGGAGAGCAATATCAAAATTTATCCGAACTGCGAAGTTCAGATGCTCGTCAGGTTCCCGACACCAGTTTGTCAATTAAATTCCGCGGACAAACACGCGTGTGAGATTTGTTTCGGAATCAATCTAAGAGACATTTAAGTAAAATTTAACGAGTGTAAATTTAATAATCCAAAAACAACGAATACAAATATCAATGAACGAGGGATAATAAAACGACAATTAGATTACACGATATTAACTTGGACTTATTCTATACTGATGCGCGATCGAGAGAGAGAGAGCTCACAAAATTCGTTATAAAACATACAACCTGATTCAGTTGACGTTCGTCTTCTTCTCTGTCTGTAAAAGACACCTTGTAGATAGAGTTCATTTACTTCTTCATACGGGAGATCAATACGTGCACAAATATAAAAGTATCTTTACTAAGTTCAGACTCAGAACTTAGTCTATGGGACTCGTTTAAGGGCGTTGGTCATCAGGAGGAAACGTATGTGGAGTTTGGACGCTTTCGGATCTGTTGCTGAACTCCCCGAATTTGGACTAATTTCCCCTTATATCTCCTGAATTTTGACCAATCATCGGCCAGTAACTCTTTCGTGAGAACGGACGAAAGGGGGATGAATGAGGGGTAACCATTTCCCATCTGAGTGAGATTTTTAACCAGATAAGGGAAAGTCAGAGGATGTTCTCTTCTGTGAAAGGAAGTAGCATCTGTTATCTGGTTTTTTCCCACATCCAAAACACTAGTTTTTCACAAAAATGAAATAATATTTTGTGTCGATATTTTACCATTATTAATAAAAATTCATAAATTAGAGGGCCTTTCGGGTCTCACAATATTATGCTCCGATAGATCAGTCACATCCAATTCCTTAGAAAATAAGTTAACAATATAATCCCGCAAATCCAACTCAAGCGGAATAGTATGATTAAACAACATTAAATTGCTTCTGTTTGAAGCATTAACTTGTCTATTATAGGCAAAAGGAGTAACTCACCAATGTCATCCAAAGGTAACTGTTGTTGCTGTTCCAGTTTATCTAGTCACGAACATACTTTAGAAAAATCGGTTTCCAATTTCCTTACCAAAGACAAAGTAGACTGGTTGGCCATTTCCAGATTGGCGCGCCTATCTTCGATACACTTCAACTGCATCATTACTGCATTTAAAGTCGTCTCCAAATATTGTCGTAAGGTTAACAATTCTTCTCTATCTGAGTCCGGAGGAGATTGTCTCTTAAAATAATGTTCTAATTTTGGATATTTTCCACCCGGATCACTCGGTGAACGATGATGCTTAGTTCCTTTACGTTCTTCTTGGGTTAGCTTTGACGCTTCTGGCGGTGTACGTGGAAACATTTCCGAAAAAATAGAGCTAATGACACAGAATAACACAATAGAGCAAAAAGAAACGTACCAACTTAGGTAACAAATAAATAAAAAACTCAGTAATTTACAATAATTCACTTAACAAAATCTTCCACAAAAAAGTCACCAGCAGCCAAGGTTACTCAACAGCGCCCCCCCTATTTTATTGAATTATATATCAACCATTTTGGTCAGATACCTGTTGTCATTGTTTCTAGTAGTAGCATGATTTCACATTCATAAAAGTTTCGATTATTGCTTACAAAAAACCGATCCAAGTGATTTTTGACAATGTCATTTCAAGTAAATGTCTTACATTTAAAAAAAAATTTGTATAGACCGGAACAAGTAATAATCTGTGTGTGTCTGATCTGGCGAATATGGTTGGTGCGATAGCATGTCCCCTCTAAGTTATAACAGTTTCTGACGAGTTACCAAACTTGTGTGAAATTTGACATTATCGTGGTAAAACACTACACCTGTTTTGTTGATAAATTCTGGCCACCTTTTCTGTTTGATGATATTACTCAATTTGTTTACTCGATGGCAGTACNACTCTTGTTTTTTTAAGATAAAAAATTATACAAAATATATAATTTAAAGGTAAAGAAATCAATTTTTTAGTAAGAATAACATAGAGTAATTTAGAAAAATTAAATAATCGAATCTTTCCATGCGAACTGATGTAATTTAAAATAAAGACAATTGATGCACTAGAATTTCTTTCTCGATTAAGTTTTAATGATATCTTCATCGTCTCGAGGATACTTTAACCTTTGGGAATAACAAAACATTGTTCTTCTGGTATCATTACAGCGATAGAGTCAGATTCTGTCGTCATTTATTTTCTGAGACAACAGCTAAGATTGGTGTGTGACAACTGACTTTAAGGTGAGACAGGTATAGATAGAAGGAAGCCAATCAGCATGAAACAAATTAATGATCAAATAACAGACAAAGACATCTGTTGAGAGAAATGTTCCCACGTCTGCTATTTGTCTCTATTATCTGCAGTTCAATATTTTACCTGCTATATATATATGTATATTGCGACGTTTCGCAGATTCAATGCTTTGGTACACATGAACGTACAAAAGAAATGTCGTACGATGAGCAATGATCGACTAATGAGAGAAATTTCTTACATTAATTGCTACTTCATTCTTTTATAACTGCTCTAACCCGGCAATTTTGAGAAATTTCTGACCAAAGCTTAAAATGCTACCCTACTTTATGCAATTTTATCAAAAACACGAACTTTGCAGTGAAAATTGGGCTTAAGTTTTGCGTGGGTGAGAGAAATTCCCCAACGAGCAACCAAACTGAAATAAACCAACCTAATCCCGGATAATTTTTAATCCTTAATGCCAATGTTTTTGTCTGATTGCCGAGTAATACCACATTGCCAATCTGGCCATAAATCACTTTGATATGATTATTAGCGAATGGCAAAAACAATTATGTGGCAGTAACACAACTCAAACCTCCGCTGATTAATATGGCAAAAGTTTTGGGAAGCGGGCAACCTCTCCAATCAATTTTACACCCATAAATTAAACTGCGACTACATCGGCAAGCTCTCTGGTATCTACTAACGGATAACGCGATGGTGTCGGCTCATTGCGCAATGCCTTAGACGCCGTTTCATAAAAACTACAATTAATTATTGTATTGAAACCTTTGTTATTTTGAAATTTAAAGGTCAGAACAGTTATAAAAAAAGGAAAACTTTGAAAGGCAAGTATTAATTCTTTTTTTTTCCCCATAACGTGTTACCCGGGAAGCACTCGAGTCATTTTTTAAGACATTCTTTTTCAAATTTTCTAAGCAAGAAATCATAATACTAATATAGTACGTGCGATACAGACTGATTAAATATGCGGTGGTCGAGATATTGCAATATACATGGGCCAATAATTTATTATACATGTGTATATATATATAATTGCATTTTTTTTTTTTTTCTCCTTCCTTCAAACTATCAATACAATTCGGTTTTAAAAAATCTATATATAAATATTCTTCCAAAAGCAGAACAAAAATATACATTTTACTGTACACGTTTTGTCGTCTTCACTTTCACGAAAAACATTTAAAGGTATATTGCGACGTTGCCAAACCGTGCGGGCACGTGCCCCACACCTCTCAACGTAAAGTAAAGCGGTTTTGCAAGCAAGTGACGATCATATACTATGTAATGTAAATAATTAGGCATGGTTTTTAAATGTGTTGGTGAAATGGTCCGATCGGTCCTCTCCTCCACACCGGATGGTCGGTAGATTTTTGCGCGTAAAACCGTTTCCGCACTTTGGTCGGTCGACAAAAAAAGGCCTGGGCAGAGACGGAAAAGGACGGTTTCCAGAAAGAAGAAACCGAACGTAATAGTTACAAAATCTTCTCACATGCCTTTCGCAGCACATCTGCCACCCGCTTTACGTCGGCCTCCTCAAACAGGGAATTGACAACCAGTCGAATGCTGGGTGCCAGAAGCGTGTGCTCTTCCTTGTCTAGGTAACGGGCAACGGTGAATGCAATGCCGTTTTGGTATCCCTGAAAATAATAACAAAGTGAATCGAATGTGAAAATATCAAGCAAAATTACTCGCGGTCAATTGAATCTGTTATTTTCAAGTTTCCCGCACCACCCTTGTCACAATACACCAACTCTTTCCATCTGTTATTTAATCATTAAATCTATTACCATTATTGTATCGTGTTTATTTTATCATTGGAAATACCTTAGCAATTCAACAATTGCAACAGATGTCGCAGAATGCATTACGGATCCAGCACATTTTTAGTCTACTGACAATAGTTTGTGGCCCATTACTCAATGTAGAGTAAAGTAAGGAAAAGCCACAGTACCGAAAAAAGCAATTATTCCTTTTTGTTTGGAACCATTAATGTTTCCAAACCAAGTTTCTGTTGCATGAAAGTATTGTTTCTCATTTTAAATTCAATTCTACATTTGAGAACACCAAAATACTTATGTGGAATAAGCATTTACATGCATAGTTTCCTTAGGGGACTACAGAGTCAATTTATGCAGATTAAAGATGTTTGATCCGTACGCAGTGCACAGAATGAAATAACTGTACTTCAAGTTAAATTGATAATTTCAATGTAGCGAGAGCAAAAGGTGGGTTTTGCAAACTTACATAATCGACTATCCTCTCGAGTTTCTTGATCTTCTCTTCCCTGGAATAATCACCCACTATATATAAATGCTTGACTGGGGAAATTTCGTCGGCACCCAAGCTCAACTGAGGAATCCTATTTTCAAAAAAGACATTGTCAGAATGTGATAAAACATCAAATTGAAATATTTCGAATGTCGTACCTTTGCAGTTCTTTATGCACAAGACTGGCATTCTCTCTCAGAGTGACCAAAACCTCTGAAGAAAAAGAATATTCAAATTACACTATTTGTAAATTCTCTGTTATTAATAGTTCTTATTAAAATGCAACTATCCACGTCAAAATGCGATCCGAAGTAAATGGGCAAAGGCAAAATTAAGTCAGCGTAAATGTCATTGGTGGTTTTATGAACAATATTAAAATATAACCAGATGCAATCAGTTTTTGACAAGGCAGAGAGGTGGCTCGATACATAACTGGCCAGGGTAAACAGTCACACCATTATTTTTGACTATTATTTATTGATCTTTCTTTACATAGGGATATTCAAAAAGATGAATCAGTTTTTGAATTTATTTCAAACAAACTGTAAGGAATGGAAACACATTCTACGCATCATTGGATAGAGGAACGTTTGAAGTTTTAAAAGACGGAACAAAACAGAACATCTAGGTAGGATTTTAAAACTTCGAACCTTCCTTCCTCTTTCTGGTGACATGCAGAATGGTTCCATCTCTTACAGATTGTTTGAAATAGAGCAGTTTTTGAGTTTATCTTTTCAAATAACCCTGTATATTGCAATATAGTATAGTTATATACTATACTATTTTGCAATTATTGCATCAGAATGTTATATGCGACTAAATTTGTCACTTAAAACCCCTAATTAACATCAAATGACGAGTATCGAAGCTTGGTGGCCATTTGTCCATTTTAAAAACAATTATGTATTAAACCGACTCGCGTCTCCGTTAATGAAATTTGCTTAAAGGTTTTCTTCTCTTACCCGGATTCGACTTCATGGCCTTGAGTGCTGCCAGAGCCACAGCCGCCTGTAGAGGAGGCAGAGAGGCAGAAAAACAGTATCCCAACCCAGACAGTCTCTGCAAGCAAATGAAGTTTCCTTCGTTTATGTGATTGTAATTAAATTTCGACAGTCTTGTAAATTAGGCAGGAAAGTTCTCACCTGATGATCCACTATGTACGAAGAACCGCAGCAGAATCCTCCATAAGAAGCCATCGCGTTCTCTAGACTGGCCACAATGAGATCCACTTCATCTACCTGAAGATAAAATAATTTTATTTATTTACATAATGAAACAAAAGCATCTGAATTTTACGAGGATTTATCAATCAGAGTATTTTTATATCTTTTCGTTGTTTCCACAATGAAAAGATATAAAAATACTTTACAAATTTTGATACTTTTAGAGATTTACAGGGTTCCTACTCAAATTCTTGTTTTGAATTCCCTGACTTTCCCTGACCAACTTTGTTCAAATTCCCTGACCCTCACATATTTTAGTGTGGAATATCGACATAACAAAACAGCATTTACTGTGAAAATTGAGTACATCTAGCCCTCTTTTTGCATGGTTGATATACTTCAAAGACTGCCACATTAAAAANCAAACGACATCCAATCCGCATCTGCATACCTACATTAATTAAAAGTAGTGTTGCAACTCAAAATTCAAATTTACAGCTAGACATTTTAATAAAAATAACCAAATCATATTGTTTCCATTAGAATTTTTTGATTTTTTTAGCTAGATTGTTCATAAATCTAGTAAATCTAGAAAAAATAGTTGAATTGGCAACTCATTAAAAGAAAAAAAGTTTCGTTGCCGCCATTTTGATTTCGGTTTCGGTGTAAAGGCCAGAGTTTTAATAATTATTTTTAATAATTTTTATTTATTATTTACTTAATTTTGCATTAAACTTCGTCTTTGCATAAAATTTTCTTAATGCAGACAAAATTTATTTATTTTAACCCTTAATTACAATTCTTATAATTATTGCCTTCATAATTTCACAATAAAATGTGTCCAGACCATTGTCATCACTCCTTTCAGATATGAAGTCCCCAAACTTTTTAGAATAGGGTTTTATGGACACTTTATTGCAGAGTATATCATACTGTTCTTTTGCTTTGACAGCACATTTCTCATCAATCCTGTCTGTATCATGTAGAACCTCCAGTAAAACATTGAAATACAATTTTCCAACATTTGATTGCATTTTAATAATTTCTGGGTCTAAGCTGCTCAAAGCTTTCACACATTTGTACTTGACAGGTCCCTTCTCAATAATCTTTTGTGTCATCACTTTCAGCACATTTCGACAATCTCTTAGAAAACACAGAATATCTTTGTCACTTACTTTCAATTCTTTTAAAACCTTTTTTGCTCCAAAACCAATATCCAAATTCTTCAGAGGTACCAAGTTTTCATTAGCATTTAAATCTATTTTTAGAAACTGCTTGTCGGTGACCCTGTCATTTTTCACAAACTTTCTCATCAGGTTCATTAATAATTGAACAACTGCTTTATAAAGATAGGGTGCAAGAGGTTTGTTGCTCTGAAATCGGGTGAGAAAGCTCTCACTTTGTGTACATATAGACCGAAAAAATAAAAGTTTAACTTTAATAAAAGGATCATTGAGTGCCTGTCTCAAGAATGTAGCCACCTTGCTGTCTTTCAACTTTGTACTGTTGTTTATAAATGTCTTCACAGATTCAACAACTACTGCTGCATGTTCTAAGCACTCACCATTCTCCAACCACCTTGTTGAACCAAACTTTTTGGGAAATAATCTGCTTCCACTTATAGCAATGTATTCGGCACGCCGAGTGGGTGAGTCTTTTAACAAGTAGTACAAATTCCGTAGCAGTGGTAACAAATTCCAATCTACTACTTTAAAAC